GGGGGGGGGTTGGGAAACGCGTGGTGAGAAAGAAATGGAAAGAGAGAGAAAAATTGGGAGAGAGTTGTGTAATAAAAGATATGACTTTTAAAATTTGTTTAGGTTAAAAAAAAAAAGAGTCAAAATAAGTAAAATTGGTCTAAGGGTTATAACAAATAATACATTGTATCTCTATATATCAACCTGTGTTTAACAACTTTGGATTACTAGAAAATGAAACTAAAAAAACCGAGAGTATGGAGATATTTTACCAAGAAATATAAAAAAGAGAATTGGGAGAGGAAAAAAAAAAAAAAAGCGTCAATCCCGTTCAAACTCACTACCTAGCTGCTCTTTTTCTCTGTACTTTCTAAGTGAACAGTTATACTCTTTCTCTAGATAATGGAGCATAAAGGCGTTAGTCTCAGTCACCATGAGCCCAAATGCAAAGACCTGGATGCCGGTGAGCTGCAGGTTCCCCAAATGGCTAGAGAAGATTTGAGTGGACAATTGGACACGAGCTCAAGCTCGGCAGAGGGCTCGGCCAGAACGTTCGGGGTAAGCCTAGCTGGGGTTATGAATTTCATTGATGGGCTCTGATCCTCTGTGGATTTGCATATTCATTTATTTTATTGTGGAGGAAGCTTTGAGAGTTTTGGAGAGAAATTATTTGGGGAGGGGCTAGAGAGAGAAAGTTATGCGGGTTTGAGAGAGATTGATGGGATATGGGTGGGAGGGGCTAGAGAGAGAAAGTTATGCGGGTTAGAGAGAGTGATGGGAAATGGGTTGGAGAGGTTTTGGAGATTGAAAGTTTTAGAGAGAGAGGGAGAGGTTTATGGAGGAGATTGATGGGTTGTTAGAGAGAGTGAAGGTGACATCTGCTGAGATTTTGATGGGAAAGGAGGAGGAGGGAAGGGCATTCGACGCTTTGGAAGAAAAATATGACAAATAGATTGGTGGAAAAGAATAACGTTTATTGAGTTGGAGATTTTTTTTTTCCTTTCTTTTGATCTTTCTCTCTTGTTTTTGCCTCTCTTTCTCTCTCTTGTTCAATCAAAAGAGATAGAGAGTGCCTCCCTTCCTTTTTTTGTTATAGAGAGCGCCTCCCTTCTTTTTTGTCAGAGATGTATTTAGTCCCACATCGAGCGTGTGCTCTAAGTGCTAAGGGGTCACCGTCTATAAAAGAGTTTTGTAATAAGAAAGCAGAAATTTGCAAAATGATTATTTATGGTTTGTGTAAGGATGTCAAAATCACGTCCTATCTTTTGAAATACTATATATAAATGCAATCTGTGTAATTGAAATACAATATGTGTAATTGTAAAGTTCTAAAATTCTTAGTCCTGTCTTTTGAAATACAATATGTGTAATTGTAAAGTTCTAAAAAAGAATTTAAAATACAGTATATGTAATTGTAAAGTTCTAAAAAAGAATTTAGTCATGTCCCTTGAAATACAATATGTGTAACCATAAAGCTTTCTAAAAAAGAAATCTTTAACTTCGTGACTCACTCTAAATCATGTAACTCAACATCTAATAAGCAAGATAACTCAACATCTAATAAGTAAGAATAGTTGTGATTTTTTTGTACCAAAGATAAGTGGTCTCTTTATAAACAAGTTTTTTGATAAATAAGTTTTTTGATAAATAGGTAAAATACCAAATTATTGATATCTGATAAATAGTGGATGACATTTTATTATAGCTAAATAAGTAAGTAACTATCAACTTTTATCCTTTCAAATTAGTGTAAAATGTCGATGTTTCTCATGAATCACAAAAAAATAACCATGCCTAGAAATGCATTATACAGGAGTATAAAGGATGGAGTTTCTATGAGTCTAGCCGACTCATACGACACATGTGTGAGCTCCCTCTTAAACCGCCTTGGAAGTTGAATTTTAATCTAAAATTTTTGGGATACATGATTTAGGTTAAGACGATAATGAACATGAAAAAAAATTGATATTTAAAATGAGATTTTTAAAAACATTATACCCCATTGAAACCTTTTATGCTCTTGCACACGCTGACTCATGAAGGACTTTTCCTTGAATAAAACCATCTATGAATAACAATAAATACCTTTTTCTTTTTTTTCACAAGAAAACAAAATCTAGGCAGAGTTGACTAAAGCAAAAGTATTTCCCTAAGTGCATGTCTGCACCGGTTGTGTAGTGCACGCTGTACTAGCTGTGGAAGCTATTTGGCAAAATGTATAAGTGCACGAAGTCAAATATATTTGGATGCGGTTTCTATGAGTCTTCCGGGTCATACAATACATATGGGGCCCTCTTAAACCATCTTAAAAATAGATTTGTAATCTAAAATTTAAGGATTCATGATCTAGGTTAAGATGATCATGAACATGAAAAAAAAAAAATTGATATTTAAAATGAGTTTTTTATAATAAAAAATTCTACACCATATAAACCTTTTTACAAAATCCATCTTAAAGATGGTGTTGGTGAGTCAGATTCATGGACCTGTCCAATATATTTTCACAAAACCGAGCACCCATGAAGCTCCCAGAAAGTGCACGAAACAATTAATTATTGTCGAAGTAGTTGGAATATCAATCATTGTTATAATCAATGTTTTATTTTTTGGTTCAGTCTACTGGGAGATCGAATATCCAACACCAACCATTAACGCCAGAGCACCGTTGGAAAAATTGAGGGATTTAACCGTCCGGTAAAGTCAGAATCAAAGTGACTGGTTTTGGTTTTGGTGATGGACCTGTATTCTACAAAACTTTCGAAAATATATATATAGATTCTAAAAAATAAATATTTTGATTTTTAATGTATTCTTTTAATATTTTTTATAATGCGGAAATGATTAAAAATTGTTTTGGTTGATTGAATCGGTTTACCGGTTAAACCGCTTTTGACCTACGTCCGGTTCAGGTCCGGTGCGATTTTACAAACACTACTCTAGAGAGAGAAAATAATTACAAACCCTTGGAGAGAGAGAAGAGAGAGAGGGACCACGAACCCTGAAAGAATGGCACCCCCAACCCACCTATAAACACCCCACTACCCACCCATAAGGGATCTCAACAAACACTGGAGACAAAGAAGGTCTAGAGAGAGAAAGTGGGCGCAATGGGCAATGTGAAGGTTGCCTGCTTGGTGGCTGTGCTAATGGCCATGGTGCTTGTGGCCGAGGGGGCGATAAGTTGCAGCACCGTTACTTCCATTCTCTCTCCATGCTTGAATTACATGAGAAATGCTGGCACGGTGCCACCCCCTTGCTGCAACGCGATGAGCACTCTGGAGGGGTCGTCTCCGACGACCGCGGACAGGCAGGCGGTTTGCGGGTGCTTGAAGATGGCAGCGACGGCAATCAAGAGGATAAACGACACCTTGGTTCAGGGCCTGCCTAATTCCTGTGGGGTTGATATGCATTACACTTTTTCTGCTCAGACTGATTGCAGCAAGTATGGTGTTGTTCTTTGTTTTGGCTGGTTCTTGATTTGATGTATATTTTGGTTTTGGAGATGGGGGTTGCGCTTTGGTTTATAGAGAGAGAGAGAGAGATGTAGAGTTCACAAATTCGAGGCATTTACAGTGTTGTTTGGAGGGGATGGAAAGCTCAAGCTCCTACAGTGGAAAGAGAGGGGTGTTTTAAGTTTAGTGAGAGAGAGACAACTCTATACAGAGAGAGAGGAATCTATTCAAACTTGGGTGTCCACTTTAAAGCTTTTCTTTGATTGATTCATTATTAACTCTTTTTTATTTATTTGTTTATTACTGAGAGAGAGACGTGCAAAGCTCCTAAAGTGGAGAGAGAGAAGACTCTGTTCAAGCTGAGACGTCCATCTTAAAGCCTCTATTTGTTGATCCATTACCAACTCTTTGATTTATTTGTTTGTTGTTGTTGTTGTTTTTGCAGGATCACCTGAGTAGCGATGCATGGAGTTTTACTACAAATATAAATCAAAATGATCATCCTCTGCGTCATGTATGCATCTCGATGCTTGAGTGTGTCTTTTCCAGTTCTTACTCTTTTTTATTTTTTATCGTGTATTTGTGCCTCCTGTTTTCAATAAATGGATATAATATCGATGATACACTGGACTTTCTTTGTATTTTCTAATTTCTATTCCAATTTGCTTTCTGTTGTTTTGTTTTCCTCGCCTTTAAACCAGAAAAGTTTATGCAAGACCGCTTGAGAGAGCGAGCTAATGTCGTTGAAGCTCCAAACTAGAGCTAATGTGTTTCAAGCTCCAAACTAACCTAAAGAATGGAAAATAACTTTTTGGCTAAATTATTGAGTAATTTACGTATGGACGTGAAAAAATTTAAAAAAAATACAAAATGGGCCAATTTTGAGTAAAAATTACACGAAAAGTCCGTCACCCCCAGCTTTTTTATTTTTCCAAAAATTGTCTTTCGGTCCAAAGATGATATCTTTGGACCGCTTTTAAATTTCGTTTTTACATTAGTATGGCTCACCTCAGAGAGTCGTCCGAGGTCCCTATCCTTGAACCGCTCTTTTCTTCTACCAAAAAACACAAAGAGCAGTCTGAACATGGGGACCTCGTGCCGTTCTAGAACTCAGCCAGACCTTGGAGCTCTCTCGAATTGTACCCTACCAAAGAAATAACTAAAAAAAAAAAAAAAGTCACCTTTGGATTGAGAGATAATTTCTTTTTTTTAAAAAAAAAAAAAAAAAAAGAAAGGGGCTGACTGATCTGCATAATTTTTTGTCTGCGCATAGCAAAACTATTAGAGGTGTGTTCTCCATGACTCGAGGAGATTTGCATTGTGAGTTTTTTTTTAAATCAAATGATTTTATGCACCCTGCAAAATATCTATTTACTCCCTCAGGCAAAAACCAAGGTAGAGGTAATTTTGGGACCCCAATTTTTTAATATGAATTGACCAAATGAAAAAGAAAAATAGGTTCAAATACACATTCTATGAGCCTAAAAAATAATGTTTAAAAATTGAGCGAACACCATCCAATTTTTGGACAGCAAGATCCTGAGTGTTAAAAGAGTTGAAAATCCATTTTCTTTTTTCTTTTTAAATAATAATCAACTGAGTTTCAAATGGATCTCAAATTTTCATATCCACAAAAGTACATTTTTTAGCCGAGGGAGCAAACTACCGTGGGAACGTAGTATACATGCTTAGTAAGTAAATGATGAAATAAATTACCCCATGCTTAGTAAGTAAAGGATGAAATAAATTACCCCATGAAATCTTAAGGGGTATTTTAGTAATTTAGTCCTAAATGGGTACTACAAGAAATGACAAAAATATTCCTGGAGAAAATACTCCTGAGTTGTTCATAGTTAACATGAACAAGAGTTTACAATGTTCATTATTTACTTAACCTTGAACAATTAGGGATAATTTTATCATTTCAAGAGTTCCATGTTGAAATAAGCAATATACCCTTAAATTGTTAAGAGTCCTCAATTTTGAATAGAAGTGACTTAGTCATCTTTTTACTATTATCAATTTAAGATGCAATTGAGTGAGATGGAACTTAAAAAATAATATTTTTAATGTTAAATAAAATGATTTAGACACCTTATATCTGTTGGAAATTGTGGCCTTTCTAGCCTTTTTATTCAAGATATCCAATTAGTATGGGTATAAACATAAAAGTTAATAATATCATGATATTGATATAGAAAAAGTCATATATATATTTGAATATTATTAAATCTCTAGTGGCCTAATTAATTTTAATGGGAGTTTTAACAACTAGTTGACAACTTGTCAAAGCTCCCAATGTTTTTTAAGGTGAATAAAGATACAATTTGAATCTCAATTCCTCTAAGCCATTAACTATTATAATTAATTCTATTATAATTAATTCTATGAGGTGGAGACTCTGTAAAATAGAAGGGTTCTTAAGGAGTGTTGAATGAAAAATAGAGATGACAAGAGACGATTTGCTCGCATGGTACACCTGTCTCCGAAGGGTTTAGCTTACAGGATTTAGATTATCACCGCATGCTCCTTGTATAATTTGGGGCCATGTCCAAAGTATTGGTAATCCTATCAATGCATTCTTGTTTTTATTTATTTATCTATTATGTTTGTTTTTTGCAAGGACCGACAAAATGGTATCAAAGCGAAGTTATGCTATAATTGTTTTATAAAATGTTCGGGACAAGTTTTGTCTCATTCGGATATGTGTAATGGCATTGTACCACAACCCTAGGGTACAATCCTCCATAGACAGGTTGGTTTTTCAGTCCGAAATATTAGAGAGAGAAAATACGGAATTGATGAGTTTTCTTGGAGTTTTGGGTATGAGCATCGAAGCTGTCTGTAGCTGCAACATCCAAAATAAAAAGAACTTACTTGAGTTTCTTGATAGACTTCCTTCTAACTGCTCCAAAGTCTCCATTCGTAAATGTTTAGTCCTCTAAGGACCATGGCCAAGTAGTGTTTCAATATACTTGGTAACCTCCAATCACAAAATCGTTTTATTTTTTTTTTTCAAGTTTGAATATGAAAAGTATTTGGTAAGTTTCAATTACAAAGCTTTTGTGGTAAGTTTTTTATTGTCTTAAATTAGAAATTTGTTGACATTTTATTTTATCTTAATAACATAAAAACAATGCAAATCAATGTAGGTGTTATTTTGAAATTTAAGTTACTATCACTCTCAACCCGTCAATACATAAGTTTCTTCCTATCTTAATAACATGAAACAATGCAAATCAATGTGGGTCGTATTTTGAAATTTAAGTTACTATCACTCTCTACCCATCAATACATAAGTTTCTTCCCCCTCCCCCCTCCCCCAACCATAAGCATTCAGGCTTGGTGAGATCTAAACCCAATCTCAATCTTAGCCGTCAATAAGAAAGATAGAATGGACAACCCATGTAATAAATTAGGTATCGGTCTTATTGTCATTGTGAATTGATTGATGGAAAATTTTCTTTTTTTAAGGGAAAATACTTATTTTTAATTTTGATGGAACGTGCGGTATTACAATCTAGGTGAAAAGAAAAAAAAAGAAAAAAAAAAGAAAAAAAATTATAGAAAAAATTGGAGGACATTTCTATTTATTTCCAATATGGCCCTCTAGCAATAATATATATTATGATCAGACAACTATTGGTTATCAATTTTATTTAAATAAATATTTGATTTAGAAATTTTCATAGTTATCAATGATTATGAATATTTCAAGTTCAACAATATATCTGTATATTTATGATATGATTTTTTTTCCCCCTTCTTTCAACAAGATTACTCACTACAACATCCTTGGAAATTATATAAACCTATTTGTTATATTATGTAACAATATTTTTGTTTATTATTTTTAACCAAATTGTGACTCATTTTTTGGTATTTATTTTGCTTAGAATTCTTTCTTCTATTTAGAAAACTAAATTTGTACCCATGAGGCTGTGATGTTGAGCTATTATTTTTCATGCTCTTTCTATGTCCACATAACATTAAAAATATTTTATGATGTATCGTGTTCAATTAAATTATCATATTGGTGATAGGTATTCAGTGGATAGTGTGAGTAAATCATCATTTATCAAACTAGAATTTAATTTGTTAGCCTGATAATTATCAATACACATTAAGAAAGTGGAAGCAATTATCGATCTAGCATGCTAGACAATATTGGACTAACTTTTGTTATTTTGATGACAACAACGTCACAAATTTGAAACATATCGAACATGTCAACGGAAAATTTGTTACATTTTTTTATGTTTTGTTATTTTGATGACAACAACATATTAAGAATAGTGGGTGACATTATTGAACTGCTTGATAACATCACAGATTTGAAACTTACTGAATTTGTCAAACAAAAATGATACTACATTTT